GCAGACTTTTTCATTCTATGGTCCAGATCAATACTGTATATGATAATAAGTAATAATCTCCAAGGCCCCGTTCAGTGACTGTCATCTTTTCAGATTCAGTCATTACTAGTTATCAACAGTGTATTGACGTGGGTAGCTACAGGGCAAGAATACTTTATGGAAAGATTCCAATTTATTATGTGAGAGATATTAATTATATGTAGGTACTGTGAGATAAAATTCAATTTAATTCGACGTCATGATTTTTTGGTTGGCAGCCCCTGTTCTGGAAGTTTCTAGAACTAGCTTTTGAATTTACATAATACTGTTGATTTAGAACTTCCACAATTTCACTTGAGCTGTCAAAATATTTACCATAAACATTTTCCAGGCATGACAAAAAACTATGGGACCTATGATATGTCACAGAATAATGCATCTACTATTTGTAACAATAGAAATACTTTAATTTCATATATTTTATTCCAGTCCAACATACCCAAAACATTTAGGAATAGGTTGTGTGAATCATTAGCAAAAGCTGATCATGTCCTTGGCTTTAACTGACATGAACTTTAACTGAACGATTTCAACAGCCGCCATAACCTCAGAATGCGTACACAAAACCAACTACAGAAAGGTTGAGAGCGAACCACGCTCATCGACCCCGACCAGACGAGATGAGAAATGTTGATAAAGATAGGTTGGAGGATAGTGAAAAAGCCCTAACCTTGCCACCGACGTTCTGCAAAGGGCCAGCTATAGAACCCTTTATTACTGAGGTCTTCACCATTGGCGTCTTGGCCTCGGTGGCTGGAGGAGAGGCTGAGGGAGGGGCACGCCGCGCGAGAGGGTGGAGCAACGGGGGACTTTTTTATTATCATTGTTTATTATCCTTTTTTATACAAGAATAAAATATAGTTGTAGAGTATGTATTGTCCATTGGGGGAACATATATGTCTGTATATATGTATATATATATATATATATATATATATATATATATATATATATATATATATATATATATATATATATATGTGTGTGTGTGTGTGTGTGTGTGTGTGTGTGTGTGTGTGTGTGTGTGTGTGTGTGTGTGTGTGTGTGTGTGTGTGTGTGTGTGTGTGTGTGTGTGTGTGTATGTATGTATGCATGTGTGTATATATATATATATATATATATATATATATATATATATATATATATATATATATATGTGTGTGTGTGTGTGTGTGTGTGTGTGTGTGTGTGTGTGTGTGTGTGTGTGTGTGTGTGTGTGTGTGTGTATGCATATATATATATATATATATATATATATATATATATATATATATATATATATATATATATCTATATGTGTGTGTGCATACACATAATCGTCTGTATATTTGTTTATGTCTGCGTCGATATTTTTAGTCAAATCTATGGTACCTAAACCTTTTATCGCACAACGCATATTAATAACCGTAATTGTTTTCGGGCCATCAAAGACGATGGTAATCAGTGATCAATTTCAAAAAGTGCCAGCAAAGCCCAGCCTCACAGCGACAACAAAACACATATGAGTAGAAGAGCGGAATGGTTTCTATCCCGCCGGCGGCCTTCCCATTTTTCGGCCGTATGCTGCCGAGATAATGGGTACACAAGCCCGCAAACACATGGCTATATGTATATATATATATATATATATATATATATATATATATATATATATATAGAGAGAAGAGAGAAGAGAGAGAGAGAGAGAGAGAGAGAGAGAGAGAGAGAGAGAGAGAGAGAGAGAGAGAGAGAGAGAGACAGAAGACAGACAGACAGACAGATAGATATGCACACAGATATGTATTGTTATTCCTAAGAAGAAATTGAAAGGTACAAAACACATTCCAACCAAGTCCGATGATTTCCACCGCTCGCCAAAAAAAACCGAACGATTCCCTCCCGCCAGAAAACTCGTGGCTGTCATGAGCGGCCGGACACAGCTTCCTGGTCTTGAGGTCCTCAAATATTCCTCAAGCTGGGTCCGGGAACAAGGACTTCCCATGAGCCATTCCCCGGCATGAGTGCTACACAGGCTACTCCTTGGTGGGGGAGGTTTATCACTTCCTGGACGCTTCTTTTTCATGGCTGGAGTGCGGTTTGGCAATTGCTCGCTGGCGGTTTTCGATCTCTTTCTCTCACTCTTTCTATTTCTGTGTTTGTCTGTCTCGGTCTCTCTCTCTCTTAGACTTTCTCTTTCTCTGTCTCGGTCTCTCTCCCACTATTTCTTTCTCTCTCTCTCTCTGTCTCTCTCTCTCTCTCTCTCTCTCTCTCTCTCTCTCTCTCTCTCTCTCTCTCTCTCTCTCTCTCTCTCTCTCTCTCTCTCTCTCTCTCTAGCATTGCTCGTCATTTGGAATTTAAACGAATCTACATCAATAACAAACTATTCCACTTTTGTTTTTATGTATATGGCATATTTAGCAATGGTATAACGTGAGCATAACAATGGAATGGCTCCATCAAGAACAAGATATATTACTGTCCGATTTTTGTGTTGGTAAACTTGAGATATAACCGTTAAAATATCGACCACATTTTTATAGTACATGTAAACAAAAATAAATAAATAAATAAAAACAATATAGAACCATCAGGCAATTTTTTAAATATCCCTTTGCCCTGTAGAATAGATAAATAGATGAACGAATATATAAATAGTAATAACTAAGATCTTTCTTTCTAGAGAATTGGTGATTTCGAGTAAAACTCCTTTACCATAATATATCATGAACTGCCTCGCTTGTCACGCAATAGACAAGACCAATACGGATCAACTTCAATATTCAGGTTTGTGGTTCGGCAAACAATAGCCGTGGGGGAACACCGGTTAAAGACGAGGTTAACCGCCATGTCCGATACAAGTCGCGTCGTAATGATTACAAGCTCGACTTCAACTGTCAATATAACATTAACGATCGGCGAGAGGGATAGGAGGGGGGGGGCGGGGTGAGGATCATTTAATATGCAAATCCAATTGTCCTCCTGATTCCGTATCTAAATTCAAAGTATATATGCTCAGTTGATCAATTGCAACGGCCAGTGACTTTGGTTACGCTTGTATCCCCCCCCCCTTCCTTCCTGCCCTGCCTGCCGACCCACCCCCTCTATAATCAGGAGGTAAACAGCCATGAACCGCAGGCAGAAGACACAGGTGATGTACGATTTTTCGATTGTGAATATTTTGGTTCTTTGTTGCAAAATTCAAGCCATAGTTGCGCAACATTACTCTGGAGGACTGCTGCCTATATTTAGTCATGAGACAGAGGGTTGACTCTGTCTTGGTGCTGTCATTGTTGTTGTTAATGCGTTCGGGTGTACCATGAGCAGCAATGGTAATAGTAATACCATAGCATGATTGTTGTATTTTTGAAGATTATTTTTGTTGGAGTTAATACGGTTGTTTTCCGCGTTGCTTTTGTTATTTTCGTGTTATGATTATCTGTTTGTCCACTTTTTAGCTTCATACTGAATTTATTTAGCAAGCGAGGAGTACCGTACATCTATTATCTTTATGATAGGTAAGATAATATCACTATAGTACACATACACACACATATGTCTATATATGCACACATATATATATATATATATATATATATATATATATATATATATATATATATATATATATTATATAGTATATATAACATATCATATATATAGAGATAGATAGATATAGATATATATATATACTTACATATATGTATGCACACACACACACACACAACACAAATATATATATATATATATTATATATATATATATAATATATATATATATATATATATATATGTGCATATATAGTGTGTGTTGTTTGTTTTTGTATGCACGCGCACATATACATCTGTGTGTGTATACAAGCATATATATAAGTATATATGTGTGTGTGTGTGTGTGTATATGTGTGGACCTATCTATCTATATATATAAATATATGTGTGCATATATATATATATATATATATATATATATATATATATATATATATATATAAATATATATATAGGTGTGTGTTTATGTGTGTATACATGTATACATACATTATATATGTCTATATATATGCATAAATACACACCACACACACACACACACACAACACACATACACACACACACACACACACACACACACACATAATATATATATATATATATATATATATATATATATATTTATATATATATACATATATATTACATATACATGTGTGTGTGTGTGGTGTGTGTGTGTGTGTGTGTAATACATATATTTCACACATTTGTTGACTTTCTCAAA